TGTCAACCATCAGGTGAGCTTTGTAGAAACCAAGCCAATAGTGGAGAAGAGAAAACTATGAATGCTGCGACTGCTGAAACGAACATAAGGAAATGAAAACATGAAACATCACTGATTAATTTGATTTTAAAAAAGGTTTATCAAAACACTTTCTTCCAATTATCAACTTTGTATTGAAATTCTTTCAGGCTGTATATCAATCGAGAAAGGGCTTCGCAATGGTTCAATGCAAATAAACGATTCCAAAGATGGAGCCATGTTATTCAGGTTCTCCTGTGACACAGGTTTCAGTCTCATAGGCCCGACAGTCATTAGTTGTTACCAAGGACAGTGGAATGGCTCTAAACCAAGGTGTCAACCATCAGGTGAGCTTTGTAGAAACCAAGCCAATAGTGGAGAAGAGAAAACTATGAATGCTGCGACTGCTGAAACGAACATAAGGAAATGAAAACATGAAACATCACTGATTAATTTGATTTTAAAAAAGGTTTATCAAAACACTTTCTTCCAATTATCAACTTTGTATTGAAATTCTTTCAGGCTGTATATCAATCGAGAAAGGGCTTCGCAATGGTTCAATGCAAATAAACGATTCCAAAGATGGAGCCATGTTATTCAGGTTCTCCTGTGACACAGGTTTCAGTCTCATAGGCCCTTCAGCTATTCGTTGTTACCGCGGTCAGTGGAATGGCTCTAAACCAAGATGTCAACCATCAGGTGAGCTCTGGTTTAAAACCAAGCTAAAACGGGCTTAAAGAATGCTATGAATACTGCACATGCCGTAATGCTCAGAAAGAAAGCACCAGAGCATAAAAGCTTCAACATTAATTTTATGTAAAAAATCCAAAAAAATTTACCAATGTCATCGTTAACGTGAGTTGTTTTGCTCTTTAGGTATGAAGGAGAGCTGGAAACTGTCGTATGTCCTCGCTTCTGCAGCAGCAGGAATCGTGTTCGTTGCAGTGGTAATTGTGGCTTTTTGTTATATTAGACAGAGAGGTAATTCTGGCGTGTATGAAGCACAAGAGGCTTCACAAAATGGACAGAAGGTGAAGGAGAACTTCACCTACATCAACCCAGCTTATGTATCATGCAGCGATCTGAAATCTGCTCGAAAATAAGGTTGGCTTTATTATATGATCAAAGGTGACAGGCTTGGAAAGTCAGAATAAACATCAAAGAAATGGAAACAATGAACACCTTCTAATAACCTATAACAAAGAAATATGCCTGCTTTTCCAACTCTTTCCCAGTCGCTACTTCTTACTTAGATTATAGATTAACATCAACCCAAGGTAATAAAAGTAATATAGCCGTGAAATGGCTAACTGACTGGAAGTATCAGATTTATCACCGTTAGGTATGGAACCAAGAACACGTTTTTCGGTTCTGCACATATGCTTCTGCTGGCCGCCATCACCATTATTTTAAAATAACTTCAGTTTGGATTATTGTGTCGTCGTTAAGCCTTCCTTCCCCCTTCCCTTTCTAGCTCCTCCTACCGAAATGTCTTTTTGGCTGCCTGTCTGCGTAGTTGATGCGCTTAAGAGTATCCCAAATTTGGGTGACTCTTTTAATCACTTCACAGCTACTTCGCTTTAATTATGGCAATTAGAAAATCTACCAGTCTGAGACACTACCTTATGCAAACGGAGTTGAATCAAACCTAATCTATTGGACAGGAAGCGAAAGGCCCAACAGCTCTTTTGCATGCGTCCAAATTTTGTATGGAAGGTGACAGGTTTACATCCACAATGACCTCAATTGAAAGAGCTCTTCAAGGACTAGATACTGAGACTGACCCGTCAAAAGAGTCACATATAGTGAACCTTTGAAATCACTGCAATTTAGGACCTCAAGTTTTGAAACAACCTCGTTCCCAGGGTCTCTCATCTTCCCGCCCCCTGGAACGAGGGAGGAGAGACCCTGGTTTAGGCTGGTCACGTGTCTCCCAGATTTTAGGAGATTAAGAATTAGTGATTTGAGGGAAGGGAATATAAGTGGGAATTTCTTCCCACTTAGTCTACTGGCGAGCGTAGCTTGTCGGCAATCAAAACAAACTACACGTGAAGCGCTTCGAACCGAAAGATGTCAATTGGGAATATTCAGCAGACGCCCAAAAAGATCAGTAAATCTTCCACTGCGGTAAATATCAGTTGTTGCAAGGTTTGTCTTCCACTACGGTAAATATTAGTTGTTGCAGGCTTTGTAAATCACTTGGAGACGTATCTCGCTCAAAGAGAATTTCTGCAAAAGGAAATCGCGCACTGCTCGCTTCTGCTGAGGACATCTATAGACGGCCGTTGAGTCAAGAAAACTTTTCGCAAGGCCTACATAGTAGGCCTTGTGAAAGACACTTAAAAAATGTTATTTCCTTCAAAACGGTGATCCGTGTAAGTCAGAGTTCCTTTGAACCAGTGGAGCGATGTACATAAACATCGCCATCTGTGCCACGTACCTTGGCCAAGAGTGTAAGGGAATCTGAGAGAAGAAGCCGCCGCGGTCTAAATTTCGTTACGGTACCAACACGAATGCAGTCTTTGCCAGGAAAAATATTAAACAACGTTATGCTCAATAGCGTTTTGCCAGATTTGTTTTTAGTTACGTCTCGACGGTCCCAAATACTTCTTGCCGCTTGCGAGTATCTTTACGAAAGGTGACAAATTATATTTCTTTCAGACTGAGCTACCTCTGATTAACTCAGCCGTTGTCGGAGATGTTTGGGATGACGATGTCCAAGACCAGGAAAATTCAACATCTCTGCCCGGATATATCGCTGTTAAACACTGGACTTGTTTGGGTTTTAAACTGAGGTTACAATACCTACTCCGGGATATAGCGACTTGAAGGCTTCTTTAAAACATAGCGACCTAAACAACGATCGATAGCGTCGATTTGAAAATGACAAAGGAAATGGGGTAAATATCTAGCAAACAAACGACTCATCCCTAAGGAATTTTTTGCTCTGTTGACGCGTGACCATACCAAACCAGACTCTCTCTTCTCTCCCTCCAAGGGGCAGGAAAATGAGAGAGATCCTGGGAACGAGGTTGGTTTTGAAAGCCTGTCTCTTGTCACATTAAAATCCTTTTTTTATTCTTATCAGGACCTTTCATCACGAATACGTTCAAACATAAAATAACCCGCACTGTCAAACTGGTTCATCTGCACAAGCAAAATCAAAGGAGTTTCTTTTACCTTGGCCTACCAAGTTTATTATCTTGGTTGTATCAGTAATGCTAAGAATGAAGGTCGCGTCAGTCTTTGGGTCTCTGCCGTGTGGGTTATCTTTCCACTCCAGTTTCCGGGTTACGCTTGACTGCTTTAAATTTCACGTACACACACCTCAGCAATTAAATTGTTTAAAGCTTCATCGCGTTTTTAAATCGATTTTTGAGAGATTCGCTAATTTGCAGTTCAACTACTAGGCTCGTGGCCTTATTCGAACGTAATCCGCAGGTCAAATTAAATTTTCTTAATAACAAATTGTAAAACTTGTTTTTTTAACTGAAAATGTTTACGATCAACTTCAAGAATTTTTGTTTTCCGTTCACTGATCTAAGTGGAACGGGGTGAAAGATTTCGTAAGTCTCGAGCCAACTGACATGAGACTTGGTCGCAAATAAATGGTTTAGTAATCGACTAAACCGCCATTAGTTCGTAGATTTTCCGGTTACACTTTAAAAAACTTGCTCAAGTTTCCCAGTTTTCGGCTGCGGATAATTTCTTGAGTGCTCCTCAGAGGAAATTGTGACTTGAGCACGTCCATAGCCGGAAGGGTAAAGAAGACGCAAAACTGACACGAGCGCACATCCGATCAAAAGATGATCGTACTTTTGTTAGCCAACTAATGGAATATTTCACTTAACTTCTTCTGCGAGATATAACCACTCAAAAATACTAGACGAACGTGAGAATCGGTTCTTCTGATTCTTTAACTTACACCATGTTTCAGAGAAGCGGCTCTCTGATTGGTTATTCCAATTCCAGGGTACTTACAACTATTCACTAATCTCAGAAGTCAGCGGAAAATTTTGGGCTTTAAAGAACGGCTACAAGCATGGCTAGTCAGAATAGTTCATTTCATATCTTAGTGTAGCAATCTTCACAGAATTTGTGCAAAGAATGAAGTCAGCGTTGTCATCAGTGCAACTTTCTCTATTCGCGTTGAGCCAGTTTACCATTTTGGAAGCCCTTGTACTTCCCAATTTTTTTCCTTTTGGACAGAGTGAGGGCGACCGGCTAGTTCCTACGAATGACGATGGGGGCTCCGAGGAAATACCGATATCGATTCCATTTCCTTTGTTTGACAGAGATCACAAATCGCTGTTTGTAAGTACAGCATTTCTGTATCTATGGCATTCAAATATTTTTAGATGCGAAAAGTACCTGATGAGTCTCTTGACCGAGATATGAGGCCGCGTCATATCAGCCACGAAAACTTTTTCACAATTATTTGACAATTTTTCACTGTCTATTTGTAACTCGTGAACGTGCGGTGGGGAATCCTACTGCGATAGAGGGCTAGACTGCTAACATCTTAATTGATTTCGCGAACGGGACTTTGAGCGCGACGCTCGACGAGTTCGCTGGAAATTTTCGAAAAATATCTGACGAGTCTCTCGGCCGAGACGAAACGCCGTGTCTTACCAGCCACGAATTTTTTCCACAAATATTACTAACAATAATAAAAAAAAGAAAATCTGCAAAAGAAACAAATTTTGGAATTCATCCGTACTGGTCGGGGCCATTTAGCCTCCATGAAAGCCTTTGTGTTTGGTGGAGACCTAAAATCGTCGCGTTTGAGCTCTTTATTTGTGTTCAATGTATCAAAATATATAACTTGCAAACAGGTTTACAAATTTTGGTGGAAGTTTAGTGGTTAAGCAATTTGTTAAGAAACATTTGCTCATGTTTCCCATCATGCAACCTATCACTGAGCCTTATCGATCGTGCACGATGATATCCCAAGCTTACATGCAAGCTGCCCTCCTTTAATTTCCTGTGGTTTTTTTGGTTTGGTTAAGGTGTATTGAATAGACTTATCACATGCCGACAAAATACGATTGATATGATTTCGGGCGAAAATGTCACTTGGAATGCAATCATACTCATCTTCGCGTTTGATGAAATGCTCAGGAGTTCTCATGTTGTGCGTTTTGATTCTACGATTACATTTTTTTCTTAAAAGCCTTGCCTATGCGGGTATCAGGCGAAATCAAGGGTTTCCTTTGCGGTGACATTCACAGTGATATTACAAGAAAAAGTATGATTTATGAGGAGAACCCGATGTTTACTTTAACAGGGAGTGGGATACGAAATATTTTGTTCGACGCAAGATCACGCAATCCCGCACAATTACCCGCACAATTAATTTTTTCTCCCGCACAATTCGCCTCCAAAAAAGCGCACAATTTTCATTTTTTCCCTCACCCTATCAGAGGGCCAGTATTAATGCACTGTTAAGTTTGTAATGTATGTTTCCAGATACCTTGAATTAAGGAATTTTTTTCTTAAAAATGCGTCCTGGAGTGAGGAACAGGAAGTTCTAAAGATGAGGATTGATATCACTCAAAATGAGTGTAATTATCAGTTCTCATAACAAGGAAAATATACTGCCTAGAACTGATAACAGAGTCCTTACTTTAAGGTGACTAAAGTTGCTCATAGTAAGACCTATTTTTTTCGAAATGAGTAAGTAAAGATCTCAAAAGAGAGCACTTCTGAAAGATTTTTAAATAATACATCATCCCTATGTCCTTGAGACAAGGATCTTTACTCCAGGAAGTGGTTCTTTCTATCAATATTTTGCGCATGTAACACAGGTTAGCCAGGCCATCCTACAAACTCAACAACAACTTTTAATCTGACATAATAAACCCAAATTGTACTTTCTTTAAAATGTTTTACATTATTTTGAATTTAAGATACATGCACAGCCGCAAGTTTTATTTTGAAGCAAGACTTAAGTTACACCTCACTTCATTTGATGTATATCAAATTAACAGCAAAGTGACATGGCTTTATACCTAACACCAATTCTTCAAGAAATGGCACAGCTACAAGTTAACTTAATATGCTGAAATTTTAACCATTCAATAAAAATCTTTATGCAGATTTACCAATACTAAAATAAACAGTATATAGCGGCTTCATGACAAACACAAATTTCTCAAGGAATAGGTATAGTAGCCTTTCCTTTGAATCATACTGAAGATTACTCTTTCTCTTTGTCAAAAATCTTGCTACAGATTTGCCTGTACCTAAATGCTCGTCGTAGAGGCTCTACACCTAGGACATATTCTTCAAGAAATTGATACAGCAACTTTTCTTTTGAATCATATTGAAGATTAAAACAATAATAAGTTGACAGTCACAACAACAATCCCTTTACAAGGATGAATATCCTTGCTGGTGTATGACTATAATTCTGTCAACAAGTGGTTTATATTTAGTTTGAGATTCTTTACTCTGGTTCAGTAATTTTTTGTATAATAATCACATGATTGTAAGTAAAGATTACAAATGGTAGCAGTTTACATTCCATGCTTATTCTTCTGGAAGTTATAAATTTATGATTTATTTTGACAACCACTTTGATTGTCATTTGAAATTAAAAATTTTTGTGAATTAGATGCAACAAGGATATTCCTAATGCTTTA